GCTTAGTGTTACGATGGCCACCCAATTTTATTTTATTTAACTGTGGCCAACTAATTTCATATAATATTTCACTAGGCTACCTAACTTCTTTTAATTATTTTCACTAATTTTAAAAGGGGCAAAATGATAAATTTGCATTATATATAATATTTCACCAGGCCACCTAACTTCTTTTAAACACACACACACACACACACACACACAAAGTTATCGTTTTACCAATTTTAAATTTAGTGAAAAAAATTGGATTGCCATGGTAAAATGTTAATAAAATTGGATGGTCATAGTAAAACGTTATATGAAATATGGTGATTATAATGAAATAAAATCAAATTAAGTAACCATGGTGACATTAAGTATAAAGTTAGGTGGTCATGATAAAACGAAATTTAATTGGGTTGTCATGGTGATACTAAATATAAAGTTGGGTGGCAATTGATGTATTTAGCCCATATATACCTAATTTTTGATATTAAAAAAAAATTTATTCATACTTGATTTTTGAAATTGAAAGTTAAAAAGTAGGATTGAACTAATTTTTTTTTTTTTAAAGGGCGAGACAACAAAATTTTTTTTTAGAATATTATTTAGAGAGTGAGGGTTTAGACACTGGTTTTGGTGAGAAATAACCTCTCTTTACTCAATGTAATTTGTTGGGATTAGGGCTTGAGAGAGAGAAATCTGCATATTCTGAAAGTTTTCTAGCTTGATACTTTGTAATCTTCAATGTTTTGATTGCAGTAGTTAATTTAGAGCGTTAACAACATTTGTGAATGTTCAACATTTTGAGTAAACCTTTTGGTTGAACATTCGGGCCTGGAAAGCTAAAAATTTTGGTTTTCTTTCCTTTAGTTTGAAGTTTTTGTTATTTTTTTCATTTTCCAGACTAACCGTTTGTTTGTTTAGAAAAATAGTAAGTATTTGGTAATTAAAAAAGTAGTAAACGTATAATTGGAATTTAAAAAAAAAAAAAGAAAAAGAAAATGGTGGATATAATTTCTACTAGAACGATTTGTGTATTCGGTGGTCATGTTATGCCATGTACGTTAGGATCCGACCCGTTAGATTAATTTTCTGGTATTTTAATTAATTAATTGAACATCCCAAGATCAACCTTCCCCAAATAGGTATTACTCATCAAGGAGACAAGCAGACAGGAAGCTGACTTGCCTGGCAAGTCTTGGCTCACGCGGCTCCGATTCGGATCATGCCCCCGGACAGGAAAGTTCCTGGATGGATTAAACCGCCAAGTCACCGCCGGGGGTGGGCGTTTGCGGTGCCACGCGCCTAATCCACGTTCTGTTGCAAATTAAAAAGCCTACTTGATAACGTGGGACGGTGGATTCTGGGGTCCATGGGGCTTTTTAGTTTTCTTTTTCTTTCTTTATGGCATTTTTCATTTTTGTTTCCTTTTATTTTATTCAAAATAGCGTATAATGGTTTCTTTAATAAATATTTGACTCCACTGTCCAATCCACTAGAGAGAAATATCAAAAACTTTAATTTAAAATCGATCTCCTTAATTAATTTTATGAAAAATTGGACCATTGATTCCGTAATGTACTAATCGAGTAGTTTCAAACCTTCGGATGAATTTGGTCATCATAATTGCATCATGAATTCTTTATCCAAATTTTCGTTAAACTGTTCAATTGTCACATAGTTCTTAAAAAAATTGTTTCAATTTTTAGTACGAGAAACATAATTTATAAATTTGATCAATTTGCTAATTAGACAAGGGAAAATTACATTGAACCCTACAGTTCAGTTTTCAACTTTAAAAATCAGGTCATAGTTATTTTATTTTATTTTTCAAAAATCAGGTTACAATAATTTTTATAATTTAAAAACGTATATGCTCCCACTCAAACCATGCCCACACTTGGATTTCAATAACCGACCACGTAAATATCTTTTCCTTGAAGACACACACAATCTCTCTCTCTCTCTCTCTACATTTTGAAAAAGAAAGTGACGCTCTCACTCTATAAAGCTCTCTATTTTTACATACAAACAAATGTGGATGTGAATTTCTAAATTTGTGGTATGGTGTCCTGTCGTGTTAATTTGGATTTGATGTGGATGTGGTGGTGGTTATGGCGACGAGTTGGTGGATTGGAGGAGGTGGTGGCAATTGTATTGCGAGTAGTGGCCGTGGCGATGCATTACGGGTGATGATGTACGTTATAGTTGATCTGTGTGTGTGGTGGTAGTGGTGTGTTGATGGTGGTGAGATGACACGTGGCATCAATGTTCCGGTGTTTTTTTTGTGGTGTTAATGGTGGTGGAAGTGGTGATAGGGTGGAGTCGATGAAATGAAGAACGAGTATGATCGGTTATTAGATAATTGTGACCAATTATTGAATAATTGTGATCAATAAAATCAGAAATTTGTAACTAACAAAAAATGTTACCTAAAAAATGTGTGTTTTGTGACATATAATCTATGTCTTTGGGATCAATAAATAAATTGTAATGAATTAATTTTAATTTTGATCGATTAATAATCAGTGACTTATAAAACACATGTAATTTGCGACTAAATTTATAATTAATTCATACATTATGTTTTTGTGATCGTTTGTGACTCTGTGACCTGTTTAATAAAATTATAGGTCACAAAATTTTAAGATGTCGCAAAGTATAACCACCTAATTTTTTATATTTTTAAATTCATGATTGTTGAAAGAGAGAAGTAGGTATACGAGTACGAAAAAGAAAGTGTGAGGTGTAAGAGAGAAAATTTCGGAGGTGGGAGAAATAATTATTAAATAATATATATTAGAGAGAGAACAATGTGAGATAAGAGAGAGAAAATGAAAAAGTGAGAGAGATATTTGAGTAAGTTAAGTGATATTTATGTCCTGTTTGAACCAAATTATTGTAGAATGAGAATGAAAAATATAGTCGTTATTGAAGTCCACATAAGAAATAGAAAATTTGAATTTAAATATTGATGTGATATATAACGATCATATTTTTCATTTTAATGAGATAATAATATAGATCAAACGGGAGCTTATTGTGATAGAGAAATGAGATATGACAAAACATGTTGTGTTATATATTAATGATAAATATGTTGTGTTAATATTTATCAAATTATCTTGAT